TTACAGAATAGTCTAGAAACCAACTTCAAATCAAGGTTCAGCTACCCATTACCAGGTGTAAGGAAGTAATCACTGATAAGAGGTACTTACTTCACTGCTGACTGGTCCATAGGCATGACCTGAAGAATCTGGTTCTTCTAAATACAGAGTGTAAAAGTGTGGTCTAAATCAAACAGTATCAAAATGTAATATTTTATGAACACATTGTACAACAGAATGAAAAGAATAATTCAACAATCGACAGTGAACAAAAATTATACAACACTGGGGTAGTGTTTCTAAACTTGCTGGGAAATAATTTGCAGGTTGAAAATTCTTCAGAATGTGACTGTAATAGCTCAACAAAGAATTCATTTGGATATCAAACCTCATAGCTAATATCAAAGTTTTCTTGCAGTCTATTTTAAAATAATTGTATAATTTCTATAAGACAAAGGAGTATTTACAATACATACCTTTTATCTTTAGGAAGCTGTAGCCATTTAAGAACACTTAAAATTCTTTCTTCAAATGGTACTGAACTAAAATTAAGAATAAACAAAATGAAACAAATCTGGGACCACTGTTTAGGTTTAAAATATAAATGTTTTTCTTCACAAAATTGCATTAAGAAAGATTAAAACAATCTAATGCATCAATTGTGTCTGAAGCCATGTAAGAGTTTTATTTGGAAACTAAAATTTGTCTCCCCCAAAAAAGGAACAAAAGTTAACCCATTGTACGCCATAAGCGTCTTAGATGCAGGCAGCGGACCTTCCCCACACACCATGTGCGTCTATAAAAAAATAAATGTTTGCCCTAAGTGGCAGCCCTGACCAACTTTAAAATCATTTTTCGTGAGAATTTTCAGCTGAAAATATTCAAGAACAACTGAATTGTGAGTAATATATTTATTTTTATAATGTTCATTGCAAATTGATTTTTTAAATTAAACTCAAAATATCATAACATGTGGGGGTTGTTTTCATTATGGACGCATGGCAGTAAACTGGTAAGTTTTCCACAAATGAAAGTTGTCATTGGGCTTAAAAATATGCTTCTTAAACTCTACTTGAGGATATTTCTCCTATACCTGAGAATAGCAATTGCTACCATATGAAAAACCCATGTATCTGTACACTCTTCAAAGGCACCTCATGAAACTCACTTATTGATGACTCAGTAAAAGAAGGAAGTAGGCAGCTGGTGAACAGCTAGTTCCCCAAGCAACATTTCTTCAGCAGAATTAATGACACCTTCCTCCAGGCACAGGATTTTGTTTACAAAACTCCACCAAAGTGTGTGCTTGCCCAAACCAATTACAGTTGCATGAGTTGTATTCTCTATTAGACTTTGAGAAGCCAAAGAACATATATCACTAATCTTTGAATTCCCCATGACCCTTACGGCGGAACGACCAGAACAACCGGTCGTTATGACATGCACTGACCACCAGGGGGCAGACGCTCAGTGCAGGTGCTGCCCTCTGGTGGTCAGTGCCCTCCCACAGGAGGAGTGCCGCTCAGCCAGAAGCTGGCCTCTCCTGCCTCCGCAGCAGCACCAAGGAGCAGCAAGCCAAGTGGTAAGGAGCAAGCAAGAGGGCAGTTAGGAGTAAGCAGGTGGGCTATGTAAGGAGCGAGCAGGTGGTGGTTAGGAGCAAGCAGGTGGGTGGTTAGGAGCCAGTGGTCCCTAGGAGCCAGCAGTCCCAGATTGCAAGAGGGCACAGCTGGGCTGAGGGGCCCCCTGCCCCATGCACAAATTTCATTTCCAGGGGCCTCAAGTGGTAAATAATAAGGTGGGAAGAAGCACTACACTATGCTCAAATGAACCATAGAGAATTAACAATGGCATTAAGATCACCAAAGAAGCCCGACTGGTGTCGCTCAGTGGTTAAGCACTGACCTATGAACTAGGAGGTCACAGTTCAATTGGTTCAATTTCGGTCAGTGCACATGCCTGGACCCCTGTAGGGAATGTGCAGGAGGCAGCCAATAAATGATTCTCTCTCATCATTGATGTTTCTATCTTTCTCCTTTCCCTTCCTCTCTGAAATACATATTTCTTTTCCTTCCTTCCTTCCTTCCTTCCTTTATTTTAAATGTGATTCTATGTTATAGTCCTAGAAAAAGCACATCTACACATACCCATTATATATTTTATAGATGTCTGGGAAAATTCCATTAATTTCCACATCTGAGCCTGGCCAAAAATATGTGGCAGTCCTCAGGCCTTGATATTTTGCTGTGAGCCAAATCTGGAAAAGATCACAAAGAAAAGTTAGGAGATGTAAATACTAGAGGCCCAGTACACGAAATTTGTGCATGGAAGAGGGGTCCCTCAGCCTGGCCTGTACCCTCTCACAATCCAGGACCACTGGCTCCTACCTGCTCACCTGCTTGCCTGCCTGATCGCCCCTAACCTCTCTGCCTGCCTGCCTGATCACCCCAACTGCTCTCCCCTGCCTGCCTGATTGCCACTAACCACTCTCCTCTGCTGGCCTGATCGCCCCTAACTGCCTCTGCCTGGGCCCCTGCCACCGTGGCTTTGTCTGGAAGGACATCTGGAAGGATGACCGCTCTAATTAGCATATTGCCCTTTTATTAGTATAGATTGATTTCTTAGGAAAACATGTGTTTATGTAACACCAATGCATTCTTCTCAAGTGCTAGGATGTTTTCAAGGTTAATAAGATCCAGCAGTTAGATTTTAAAATAATAATGTAATATGACTCTGAACAGCAGCAAAATTAAATTAGATAGAGACTAAATTAACCTAAAAAATATGGGCATAAGTCAGTTGGCAACTACTGCAACTTTTAGACCTTACCCATACTTAACAGGTTCTCCTTGAAAAAAAGAAAAATTCACAAATATGTATGTCCAATTTATCAACATTTTAACTTATATAACTAATATTTATAAAGCATTTATTATTGCCAATTACAGTTCTAAATCGTAGTCCAATAAGTATCCTAGATTATTAATTTAAATAACCCTCAAAAAACCTATAAGCTACTTAACAGTATTATCTACAGTATAGACATGAGAAAACTAAGGCCCAGAAAAAATAATTTGCCCAAAGTCACAGAGCTTTAATATCAGAGCTAAAATTTGAATTTTATAACCTGTAAATTACACATCATGCTCTTTTTCCAAGAGGATTACTAAGACTATCCAAATAGAAATATCGTAACAATTTTAAAAAAATAGAAAGGATACATACAAATCACAATCAGAGAGAATCTTCTAAGTTATCATATGCAAAAGAAGTCAAAGTTTACCTCCTTCAGAAATAATTAGCTTTGTGTAGATCAAAATATTACCTCCCATCCACTTACTGCCATACGCTACTAATACAAGAAGATAGAATCAAGCAGAAAGAAAAATCGCCTAGAATAACCCGAGCCCAATTCTGAAATAAATTACTACTCTCATTATACAATGACCCACACTGCATTTAGGATTGTCAGCATTCATCTACAAAAGGATGGCCGTAGACATCGTAAATGAAGCAGGTTATTAAGAGCGCCAGGGAATCTGGCATTTTACTCTGCTTGTAAGAGATGAGAATAACGACAGAAACGGCTTTAGTCTCCAAAACAAAACAACTTACCGGTTCTCCTTTGTACCACTCAGGATTAAATTTCTCTTTACTTTTAAGTGCAAAGGAAGCATTCATTTTGGGGTCGTACATTTTATTATCAATTATGCCATGGGATTCGGGATAAAGACCCTGAAAAATATAAAATGCAGGTTTTATGCAAGTAATGAGTGTTTCAATGTTAAAGTGACTGAACAGTTTCATCAAAGGAAAAGAGGTTACTGAAGCTATAAGGAACTTAACACAGTGTAAGGAGGGAAAAACAAAACAATAAGTTTTATCAAAATACAACCAGCCACTCAAAATGTTATGTAGTATTTGTGTTTTTCATTATGTAAAAGGAGGTAATAAGTTAGCAATGCTACAAATGAGGGGCTATATAAATAGGCAGCCTCCCAAATTGTGAAAAAAAAATACTATACTATCTTTTTGCATGGCTGAGAAAGGCATTTCTGCAGAACAAACTTTTTTTGGTTGGGATCCATACAAGCTAAAGTATTAATTTTCTGGCTTCAAGGCCAAATGAATTCTACTTTTTATTTTCCTGGATTCAAATTAAATCTGGAAACTTTGACTGAAACAAAAACAGGACTGTAATCCTATCCAGAGGAGGCAGAGTGATTTGCTCAAACTCATCCATCAAAATGATTGATTGTCCATGGACAC